GTCCTTGCACTCCAGCCTGGGAGACAAGAGCGAGATTTTGTCTCAAAAAAAAAAAAAAAAGAAAAAAAATTCTACTCCTCGATCACAGCAGCCAGGTTTCATGTGTCCAGTAGCCACCAGTAACTAGTGGCTACCATACTGGACAACCCAGAATAAAGCATTTCCTTCATCACAGTAGGGTCAAGCAAGTCAACAGCTGAGCCAGGATTCCAACTCAGAGCTATCTGGCTCCAAGACTACACGCGCTGCTTCATCCTCCCTCCGTGAAAGCCCTTGTACCCAAGGTCTCCACATGAAGATGACTGTGGGGAACCTGGGTTTATGTTTGCTTTCTGGGGCCTTCCAGCTTGAGTCCCTCTGGACTTGTCCTCATACCCGATCTGAGAAGGTTAGGCCCCATCTCCCCAGACTCACTGAGTCCTGCTAGGTCTGAGCTACATGTGTACACTCTGGCTCCTTCCATTGGAAGGTCCTTGATGTTTTTTCTTCTCTTGACCCCAGGGTGCCTAGCACCCTGTGTACCCTGTAGACAGGGGTCTGCAGGTTGTGGAACCAGGACACCTGCAGAGTAAAGACTAGGGTAGGTCGGCATCTGCAGTCCTGTGTAGGGCAACTATGCAGAGCCCCTCTGCTTCACAGGCCTCCTCCCCCCTCACCCAGGTGCTCACGGCTCTTCTGGATTATTTGAGACAAGGCTAGTTTGGCCACATCGGCTTTTCCCTGGTTGGGCTTCACGTATCAGTACTTTGAGGAGGAAGGGAGGAGTGGTGGCTGGTGGGAGAATGCTGAGGCAGGAGGCGGTGCGGGGGAGTCAGGCACACAGTGTCCCTTGTCTCTCGGATAGCAGCCTGGGAGTGGCCAGTGAAGACGGCAGCAGGACAGATAAGGTGGCTGCTGCAGCTAACAGCCATGGCCAGGTCTTGTAAAAGATTCTGATAGGAAGCGCCGCAGCTGGGAAGACGACTGAAATATTCTTGCAACTTTCAATCTGAGTTATATTTCCTTGGCTGACAGGAGTCTGATAAACACAGTGCCTCCACCTACCTGACAGTCACTCCTACACCCTGCCCACCTTCCTCCATGGAACAAAGAAAGATGCCAAATTTGCTATCGACCAACTCCCGTTATTATAGGTGTGAAGCCAGCGGTGGGAGCCTTGGAGATGGTGCTAGTGACAGCTGCAGGTGTCATTTCTGTTACACTAGCCTCCTACCATATGCCAGGGGCTTAATTTCTAAGCACATCCCATGGATTAACTCATTTAACATTCACAGCCACCTTTTGAGGTATGTGCTATTATTATCTCCATTTTGTAGATGAAGAGCCTGAGGTTCCAAGAGCTTAAATACACTCAGGGACTCACAGCTGTGAGCTGAGTTGGAATCTGACCCTCACAGCCTGGCTCCAGAATTACCATCCTCCGCATCACACTATCTTACCTCTGCAGCCACGTTCGAGACCGGATCCCTGAGGAAGTTCCTCTGGCCACCTATGAGAGCAGAAACCTCTAGTCAGCGTCCTTCCTGGACACCATATTTTAAGGTGGATGCTGGCAAGTTGAGAGAAACACCCAGAGCACCAGGATGCACGTGCTGTGAGGGATGGTTGGAAGATGAAGGATGAGTGTCCTGGAGGTGGGGAGGCTTGGCCTGGTTTCCTGGCTCTGCTGAGCGCTGCAGGAACTCCCATAAGGAAAGACTAACACTGAGTGTGGTCAAGGAGCACATCACTGAGAAGGAGAAACTGGAGCTAAGTGGGACAAAGTGGAGAAAGCGTTCTGCAGGTAGAGGGAGATACACTGATGAAAGCAAAGGCATGTTCAAGGAAGGATGATGGTCTGGTCTGGCCAGAACAGAAGAGGGTGTGTGGGAGTGATAAGAGATGAACCCACAGGAGTTGGAGTTTCACTGTGTCAGCCCCTTAGACTGGTAAACAGGGAGCTGAGTTTTGCATGGAGACCTCTTTGCCATCCCGTGCCTGGCAAGACTGATCCTGCTGCTCTCTGTGCCTGTTCCCTCAACATGCTCAACCCATGGGGAAGTTTGGGAAGTCTTCTTCCTTTCCTTGGTGAAGTTTGCTCTGTGCTCTCAGGATCCACTCAGAAGCCAGTGCAAAGCTCTTTTTCAGAAAGATTCTGCACCCCCACACCTGGGAAGGCCCCGTAACTGAAGGCCACAGAGCTGATGGATGGGAGATGAGTCAGGGATGGAAGGAGAGGTTTTTCTGAGGGTGGCCAGAGGGAGCACTGCTTCTGGATCTCAGAACTGTAAAGACACATGGCCCTGTAGCCCAAATGAGAAGCCATGTTCAATGGGCTGTCTTGGAGGAAGGAACTCCAGCATTCTGCAGAGTTAACTCATTTCATATCATTTCCCCTGGTCGGTGTCAGAACCCTGGATGAAACCGAAGGCCTGACAACTTCCATGTATGGTGTCCACTCCTGACCCCTTCGGCAGGGCACAGAACTTTTTGGCATCTGCGTATCAGGGAGTAAGAGTCCATGGCAGTAAATGGAATCTTTCTAAGATTATTATTTTTTAATGTCTGATACTTATTTAAAGAAGGATCCTGTGCTGGGTGTGGTGGCATCTGCCTGTAGTCCCAGCATTTTGGGATCCCCAGACAGGAGGATTTTTTGAGCCCAGGAATTTGAAACTACAGTGAGCTGTGATCACACCACTGCACTCCAGCCTAGGTGACAGGGCAAGACCCAACCCAGTATCTAAAAAAAAAGGAGGACTCTGTGATAGATGGAATAATAACCCCTAAATATATTCATATCCTGATCTTCAGTGCCCATGAATGTTAGCTTATGTGACAAAAGGGACTTCGCAGATGTGATAAATTAAGGCTCTGGAGATGGGAGATTATCTTGGATTATGGCCAAATGTGATCACAAGGGTCCTTAAAAGAGGGACATGGGAAGGTCAGAGTCAGAAGAGAGTGACGTGATGACAGGGGCAGAGACTGGAGTGATGCACATTAAAGAGGGTCGAAAGGGTCATGAGCCAAGGAACACAGGCAGCCACTCAAATCTGAAAAGGGCAAGGAGCAGATTCTCCTCTAGAGCCTTCATGAGGAACCAGTCCTGTTGACACCTTGATTTATCCCCATTAGACTCATTTCATACTTGTGACTCCCAAGGCTATAAGAGAATAAATTTATGTTGTTTTAAGCCACTAAGTTTATGGTAATTTGTTACTGCAGGATAGGAAACTAATACCAACTCCATGGGAGATATTTTCTCTAATTTGCCGTTCATCAATTTCACATCTTGAATAAGATACTTCAAAAAAACACAAAAAAATAAAAACCTACAATCTCACTGAATCTGCAGAATCCCAAAACAGTAAACATCCCTAGAAACACTGCAGGCACACAGGATATGTGCAGGGTGAAGGGGCAGGCAAGGGTCTCAGCTCTTCCTGTGGAGGAGACAGCAGGACAATGTCACCGTAGAGGGTGTTGCTCAGGGCTAATTATAACCATGGTCTTCATATGTGAACACTGGCAGTGTCTGGGGGCTAAGGCCGGTGCTCCATTCCTCCAGTTAAGATCACAGTGAAAGCCAAGCCGTGTAGGTGGTGTGGTTCAGGCTGGGAATCCACATGGGAGGTTATTGCTGTCTGTAACTGCATCCTCAAATGGAAGAGAAAGTATCCATAAGCCAGGTCAGCAACCTCAGTGATGAGCCCAACAAATTTAGAGCTCGCCTAAGATCTCTTTATTCCATAAAAGATTGTGGGATTGTTGTGGAGGCAGAATTTGGGGCTATAAATCAAAGGAAGTTCTAAAGTTTGAACTCCTGTCACCCTGCACCGTTCTTGAGATGCATTTTCTGCACAGAGTGGAGAGGAAGAGACTGCATTTGGCAGGAGATTGAGTGGAGTGATGGGAGGGAGAGAATGGAGAGAAAATGGAGGGGTTAGGTGCAGACCACAAGTTCAGGGGCTCTGATTACAGCGGGAAAGAGACTGGCAATTGCTAGGAGAGGTAGCAGAACTGGAAAAGGTCTTTTGTTTGTTAGTTTTTTAAGGATGGGGAGGTCTAGAGAAGTTTGAAGATAGAATATAAGGAGCCCAAAAGAAGGAAGAAATGAAATTACTAGTGCAGGGAGTCCAGGGCCTTAAGGATATGGAAAGGGGTGGGACTGGGGGGTCAGTGCACAAGTGGGGAGAGCATCCTCTCCACCAACACCAGAGGGAGGGCAGGGGATGGTGAGGAGCTCAGTATAGAGTCAGATGGAGGCCCTTCTTCCCTGCTCCACGTGGTACCTTGGAGGCATCCAGAGCCAGGCCATAGTGGTGGATGCAGAAGCTCCAATCTGGCTCTTTCTGGAGCCCCAGGCTGTAGATACATACTCTACATGAGGCTGAGGTAAGCAGAATAGGGATTTGCCTGCTTTAACAGATTATGAATTTGCACTGTTCTAAAGCAGGGGCTTTAAAGACAGAGAGGATCTGTTTTATCTCCCTAACATTGGCAATCTACGGTATCATCCAGAGACCAGGTTTCTTCTCTCCCATTGCTCTGCCGTCTTTGGGGCATGGTTCTTACCTGCATGGGTGAGGCTAGCCTGACAGCCCCCAGGAAAGAGCAAGAGGAGGGCAGTCTGGAGGTGGCACTTACCACTTCTCACACCTTACGGCCACACCTAACTGCAAGGAGGCTGAGAAATGTCATTCCCTTGGGTGGCCCTATGTCCAGCTAAAATGCGGGAGTTTAGGACTGAAAAGCAGAAGAGGAGACAAATATTAGGGGACAATTAGCTATTTCTGCTAAGGGCTTCAGACCTAAGCCTGTGTAGCTGTGAGATCTGGCTCTGCATGCAGGCGTGTGACTTCACCTCCCTGACCTTCATCCCTCTGTAACATGAGACCACTGTGCACACCGGTCATGGTGATGAGTAAGCAGTAGCCATGGAAGCACCTGGCATGGGCCTGGAACTCAGTGGGCATGCAGTACCTGCTGTTGTTTACCTTCCTCCCTTTCTGCCCTAGGGAAACCAATGTACCTGCACATCGGGGAGGAGATAGATGGCGTGGACATGCGGGCAGAGGTTGGGCTTCTGAGCCGGAACATAATAGTGATGGGGGAGATGGAGGACAAATGCTACCCCTACAGAAACCACATCTGCAATTTCTTTGACTTCGATACCTTTGGGGGCCACATCAAGGTATGTATCAGTCTGGCAGAATCTTTCAACCCAACCAGGAGAGTTCCCATGATGTCAGCCTCTAGGCGAGGCTTCTTGGTAGGGATGAGGGTCAGGGAACAGGAGGTGGGATCAAGGGGAGGGCGCCTTCTGGAAGTTTGAGAAGTCTTATGTATTATCCATTGGTGTGCAGCTCCCCCTACAAATATTTGGGAATAAGAGAGATGACAGAGCTAACTCGACAACAAACAGCTCTCTGCCACATGGTACACATCACACTGTTTCAACACTACCTTCATTCCTTGTCTTCATTATTTCATGACTACTTCATTATTACTTCATTATTGCCCTGATCACTTCCTAAAAGAACTAGCATTTAACTTGCAAAAGGTCACATTTACGATAGATCCATTACCATATAGATAAAACAATAAGCAGGTGAGAGGAACTAGAAGTTGCAGCATTGGCTGGGCGTGGTGGCTCATACCTGTAATCCCAGCACTTTGGGGAGCCGAGGTGGGTGGATCACCTGAGGTCAGGAGTTCAAGACCAGCCTGGCCAGCATGGTGAAACCCCATCTCTACTAAAAACACAAAAATTATCTGGGCTGGTGGCGGGCTCCTGTAATCCCAGCTACTCGGAGGCTGAGACAGGAGAATTGCTTGAACCCAGGAGGCAGAGGTTCAGTTAGCCGAGATCATGCCACTGCACTCTAGCCTGGTGACAGAGTGAGACTCTGTCTCAAAACAAAAACAACAACAACAACGAAAAGAAGAAGTTGTAGCATTAAATTTACCTGTGAATTTCCTGGTTAGAGTCAAGACAAAGAAGAGACATAGTGAGCTGCAGGGTTCTTACCGCACAATATAGGAAAATGGTACTAGTTTATTGGTGCTTACGTTTTCCTAGTATTAAGCTCAAAGAGGAATTTCTTTTATATCACAATGCAAAGTGCCTTTCTATTGTATTGCTTAAGATACCCAAAATTTCTTCATGTGGTAATTGGTTTCAATGCCGATAGTATAATATTACCTCAGAGTTTTGCGAAGATAGTTCTCTTAAAGCTAGTATCATGCACTTTAAGGATAAGACTTTTTGGTAGTGGAACTGAAGAGACAAATGGAGTGAAACTTACAGCATTCACAATGGGGGCCTACTGGCATTTTATGTGAGATAGTGTTTTGTCACATAGGCCTGTATTATAGGATTTCTATCATCCCTGGTCCCTACTAATTCAATGCTAGCAGTGCTCCCCAGTCATTATCACCACGAAAAACATTCATATATCCAATCGTCTCCTGGGTATGGGGTGGGGCAGAGGTGACAATACTGTCCTCAGTTGAGAAACTCATTAGTGAAACTAAAGCAGAAATAACAGGTCTATGTTACACAAGCTGCTGTAGCCCCCTTTCCAATCCTGAGAGCAGTCCCTGAGTGATCAGGGGACTCTTTCCCACTGAGCTCAAACGAGACTTCAGAGTCATTCTCAACACAGCTCTCCAGGGCAGCCACTGCTGGAGTTGACACTCCAGTTGACAACTATTTTTGGAAGAAATGGTTAGCATGCCAAGATTATCCTTCTCTAGTGGAGATTAGCTGAGCCTGACCTTTGACAGGAATCATTTTCAGACTGTGCTTTCATGGTGAGCACCTGGAAGGCAGGAATTCCGTGTGGTCAAGTGGTTTTCTTGAGCCCGAAAGGAATGACTCTAGGCATATCATGAAGCGAGTGTGTGGCATCCCCTCTACTCACACACATGCCACCAGAACATGGGCTCATGAAGATTCCAGAGTCGGTGTTCCCTTTCCCTCTGCTAGGAGAAGGTCTCAGGTGGGAGACAATGGCAAAGGCTCTTGCTGCTCCATAGTTCACTGTAACCTGGATTCCCCATGCTCACAGGGCATGCTTTTTGCTAGCCCACTCCTCCAGATTATCTCAGAGTTATCCTTTGCTCCTAACACTTGATGGTTTGGGGACAGGAAAGGAGGGTCAAAGTGAGCCCCAACTATAGAATAGCCCTTCAGAACATCTCATTTCCAAGCACTCCATTTCCTCACAATGTCCTCTGTCATTAGCAGCTCCTTGCCTGTCTTCCACAGTATAAGAAGGGCCAGGCATTCTAACCCATTTGCAGAGAATATCTTTGATTTACTGAGTATTGGGTGGGGACTGACAAAGAACAATGCCTCTGCATCTTCTGAATATGGGCACTAGCCAGGGAAATCCCAAAGCATCTCATGGGCTCCTCTGACTCTTGGTTCTCCTCTCCTAGTTTGCTCTGGGATTTAAGGCAGCACACCTGGAGGGCATGGAGCTGAAGCATATGGGACAGCAGCTGATTGGTCAGTACCCGATTCACTTCCATCTGGCCGGTGATGTAGATGAAAGGGGAGGCTATAACCCACCCACATACATCAGGGACCTCTCCATCCATCATACATTCTCTCGCTGCGTCACAGTCCATGGCTCCAATGGCTTGTTGGTAAGCACCTCCTTCCCTCAGGGAACTCTGGGGATGGGCCATGAATGGTTAGCACTGGAGGGGTGTTGGGATGTAGACATTTAATCCAGGGCCTTTGGGGGTTGAACCATCCTTAGCTCAGGTTTTAGAATGATATCAACTGGGAGCAGATCACCAACCAAACAAGAAGGAGAAAATAGAGGTTTGTCCTTACCAAAGGTACCAAGCAGAGATGGGAGAGTGATTACTTTGTGGTGGTTTCTAGGAGTCCAGTTTTTCCTGTGCTTCACTGGCATAACATGAAATCTGGAGATCATTCCGCCACCACACAGCATGACAGCTCTGCTAACTGCAGACAGGGGGGTCACGCCAAGACTTGGCTGTGGTATCTACCCAACAGATTTGAGATGGTGACAACAATGGGCTTTTTTTCTTCTGTTGAACCAAGTGTACCTTCAGAGCAAGTTCTGCTGGGAGAAATACTCTCATTAGCAAATTGGCATGTGTATCAGAGGCTTGTCTTGATTTCCACAGATAATTTTTTTATACTAAACTGACCTTTCTCTAAGTGAACTACATTTCTATCCTCTATAAACTTTAACACTGGACATCACAAAATGGCACCCTGCTAGCTGAATCTAGCAACCAGATGTGTTTTGTTTGGCTTATACTGTGTTTAGAGAAACATTTGAACATTTTTACACTAAATTGATAATTTTACACTAAATTGGACTTTCTTTAAATGAACTACACTTTATATCCTCTATAAACTTTAAAACTGGATGTCACAAAATGACACCCTTCAAGCTGAATCCAGCTATATGATGTGTTTTGTTTGGCTTAAATAGTGCCAAGAAACATTTGAATTAGTTTCCATCATTTAAAAATTAAGAGATTCTACATAAAAATATGGATTCCTGTCTTCTTTTGAAAAGTAGGATGAGTTGGCAATGCCTGTCCTGCCTCCCTGCAAGGCAACAATGGCTTGGAGCAGAGTCGAGGCTGCCTCCACTAAGACAGGTGTGCGTTCACCAGTGTGCAGCAGGCCTACCATGGCTGTTACAATTACTATAAATCCCCCAGGCCAGTGCCACTCCTTTCATTGCCTGCTGGCCCCTGTGGGCATTTGCGTTTGTAACCCCTGCTTTAAACCAAGCAGAGCAAGCCTCACCAACAGGCATATGGTTATGGGAAAATAAGGAGGCTGTCCGTGTGACACTGGTGTGGTTCTATTCCATGTACTCTTCTATTATAAAGAGTGTCTGTTGTTTCTGTGTTTTAAATGCTCTGATTTCAAACCTCCCACTGAGTAAAGAGAAGAGATCCTCGGCTTTGGAGCCCAGTCTAGGAGGGCCTGGGTTCAAGGGCTTGATCCACAGATTGTGAGCTGTAGGACCTTGGGCAAGTAGCTTAACTTCTCTGAACCTCAGCTTCCTGCTCAGTCAAGTAAAAAAACAACACCAAACACATAGGGCTGATGTGAGGATGAATGAGATGCAGGTAGGTTTCATGTGGAGGTACTGTCCACACATGAAGGCTGATTCTTCCTAGCAGGTGGTAGAGGACTGTGCTGGAGCCATTGCTGGAAGCTATAGGAATTTTTTCTGGCTCAAGGAAAAAGGAAAGGAGAATGTTTTCTGGCTAAAGCTGAAAGACATCAAGATTTACAATAAATTCGGAATGTCAGGGATGAGCATGGGCTCTGGAGCCAGACTTCCTGGGTTGCAATTGGAGTTCTGCCACTTACAAGCCGTGTGATGTTGGGCCAGTCATTTTACCACTCTATGCTTCTGTAAAATGGAGAGGATGGCACTGCTTACCCTACATGGTTGCTTCCAGGATTAAGCAAGCAGAGAACACGGAAAGCATGGAGCCCAGTGTGTGGCCCACATTTTGCCTTGGGTGCAGGCCTCACGTCTGTCCTGCTCCCTCGTGTGATTTGCAGAACCAGTGCAATGGATGCAATCACACCTTTCTCACACAGGGTGGTGATGGCAGTCAGGATACATGGTGAAGAGAACAATGTAGAATTGGTTAGGAAAGATAACAGGCCTCACTGAGTCTTTGGAGCTTTACTTGTTCTAAGCATTTTCGTTGAAGTTCTATTCATAAATTTAGCTTAAATTCACCTACATTCAACTTTATTAAAAAGAAAGATATTAAGATTACCAGAAGCCTGTGATTACAGATCTGGAACAGTTTGAATGCAAGCTCTTGTGAATCTCAGGGAAAATACACACCACACACACACACATACACACACACCCTGGAGTGTGGATGTGTGGCTGTGCTTTCTCACACACTTGCTATGTGACTGCTGGCAAGCTACTTAACCAGGCAGGTCTTCAGTTTCCTCACACATGCTGTGGAGAATGTGATGGCTTCCTCTCAGGGTGGTTCAGTTAGAAAATACCTGTGAAATGTTTTTGGCTGTCTTTGGAATAGCAAACCTTTCTCAGAGTGCTGAGCCCAGGTCTCAGCTGTAGCAATGGACTCAAAAAGGGGGAAGCGGCACAAGAATTACTGGTGGCAGGGGCAGAGGCCTTGGGCACTCTAGGACACCCAGCAGGGCAGTGTTGAGAGTGAGCATCCCAGCAGGGCTGCAGCCTGGGAGAGGCTGGGAGAGGCTAGGAGAGCTGGGAGAGGCTGGGAAAGATGGCAAAGGCCTTGAGCCAGGAGTGTAAGTTCATGAAGATAGTCTGGGGGAGTGAGAAATGTGTGGGGTAAGAGGGAAGGCAGCAGATCGGGGGTAACCCACGGGGCTGTATCTGGAGCAGCCACGTGGGTTACTTGTACCCACAGTGGAGGTGGACTCTTGGAGCTAGAGCCTTGGGCAACTTCTCAGAAGCAGAAGACCCTTGCTGCCCTGTATGCCAAAGTCTCCCTCCAGCCTGGCTCTTAGGGATGCCAGCTGCCAAACTGGCAGGGCCATTGTCCAGACATTAAGTGGCCGAGGTACCAGTTACAGCCTGGTCCTGGTGGCCACGTAGGACTCCAGCCTCACTCAGCTCAGGACTGAGCTTGTTGGCCAAGCTGGTGGGTTAGAAGTTGAAGTTGCCCTTGAGGCCTTCCCAAGGTAAAACCAAATTGTCCTGGCTTAGAATCTAGATGAAGTGTAGGCCTCTAACTCTCTAAGTCAGACAGACAGCAAGGTAATGGAGCATATTCCAGTGTCCTTCCCTAAGATCTCCAAGAGCCATCCCCCACATGGGAATTGGGTTTTATGGATTGGCACCTCACCCTGTAAATGCTCCGCCACTGGGGCAGAGATTTCCACATTCGGAGATGCTGCCTTGGGAACTGGATGATCTCCATAGGTATTTCACATTTGCTTCCCTCATTTTGGCTTGAAGGATTTACTCACGCCTGACTATGTTTGGAAAGACGTTTTTAGCTGATGGGACAAAAGGAGGCCAAATACAGACAAAGATGAGATCCTGATTTGGAATGCAGAGGCCACTCAGTAGCATCAGAGAAGCCTTTTTCCTAACACCATCCCTGATCTGAAGGAGGAAGATTCCAGACAAGCAGATACTGGCTTGGGAGAAAGAAGGGTTTCTAGGTGTGCAGAGCTGAGAGTGCCTTAAAGCCTGGCCCTGGGCTCATCCTACAGTGTCCTGGAAGCCCCTTGCTCATGAGCTCCTCTCTCCCTGCTGCCTGTAGATAGGCTCTGATATCCTTTATCCTCAGAGGACAGCTTCCTTCATCCCTAATTCCCCCTTGGGCAGCCACCTTTGCTCTTTCCCTTTCTTCACCACCAACTCTTGGGAAGGGTGGCCTGAAATTCCACCAACTCCTGCTTCTTACTCCTGTCCTGACACAAATGTGGGCTTCTCAACTTTTGCTCTCTCTGAGCCTTGGTGATGGTTCTCAACAACGTCATTCAAAATGTCACCACCAAGCTCAGCAAACCCACCGCTGTCTCTCCTTCTTCATTCAACTCCTAACTCTTTCTTGATATGGCAGTTATTGTGGGCTTCAGTGGAACATTGAGGTAAAAGAGCATAGAGTCACAGAGACCTGTGTTTTCATCTGCCAGTGTGGCCTTGTGGGACTGATGGAAATTTTCTGGGACTCAGTTCCTTCCTGTGTGAAGTGAGGATGATGATAGAACTAACTTCAAAGGATCTTTAGGAAGATTAAACCAGACAATGTATATGACATAGTCAACAATGATATTAAATAGTATTACTTATTAAATAGTATCACTGTGTGCCTCTGTATCTAACTGTGTTCTGTGTAAACATCTCTGGTTCTGTAAGATAGTAGCAAGTATCCAAACAAACAAAAAGAGACTGGCCTCTGTAGTTAAAAGACCTTGGCAAACACTGCATACATGTCTTCTTTCCCTGTTTTGGAAATTCATGATGAGTGCTAGCAGAGCAAAGGCTTGCAATAAAAACACATGCTTAGCTTTGGTTATCCTAGCAATGCCTAAACTCATTCGCGTCTCACAAAGCTGGTGTTCTGTAACACAGTTTGGAAAATGCTTCTCACTGTATTGATATTGTCAATGGTGTCTTTCTTGAAATGCAATGGTTAGCACCAAAGCTGCAGGATACAGGCAGATGTGGGGTGCAGTCTGCCTTCAAAGGAAGGCTCTATGGCACAGTATCTGTAGGCTGGATAGCGGGGGTGGGGGATGCAAAATGGGCCCCCACTTCATCTTAACATGTGTTTCTCAACACTGAGGCAGGACATAAGGGGAATCACCTTCCTGTTTTTCCTGGAGGAAATGAATCCATTCCAGTACTTTTGTGGAAGCACAAAATGACTTCAATATGGGTTCTGCTTGTTTCTTCCTCCCTTTCCTCTTTAAGGCAGAGAATGGGAGAAGAAACTATGCCCTTTCCTTTCCTTCTTTTCCTCCTTGTGCATTGCTCAAAATGTTCTATCTTTGACATAAATGCTCCCAATAGCCACAAGATGCTTGAAACCAGGATGTCCCCAACAGGCTGCTACATGTGGCCCTGCAGGTTGTGCCCTGCACTTCTCCAGGGGTGCCATCTATATGGACTGCA